CGGGCTCAGGCAATCCACTCACCTCAGCCTCCCAAGGCACGGGATTACAGGCTGAGCCACCGAGCCCAGCTTATTCTTTTTTTTACATTCCAATTTTAAACAAATCTAGGAATAAGAGTACGGGTAAAACAAATTTGCTAAATATTTTGAAATTATGCCACATTTACTTTTTTTTAATTTTTTTTTTTTTTTGAATTGGAGCCTCACTCTGTCACCCAGACTGGAGTGCAGTGGCCGCTCCCGGCCACCACAGCCTCGACCTGCTGGGCTCCAGCGATCCTTCCGCCTCAGCCTTCCAAGTAGCCGGAATTACAGGCATGCGCTACCACACCCAGCTGATTTTTTGATTTAGTGTAGAGATGAGGTCTCGCTGCCCAGGCGGGTCTCGAACCCGCGGGCTCAGGCAATCCACTCACCTCAGCCTCCCAAAGGCGCAGGATTACAGGCTGAGCCACCGAGCCCAGCGAAAGGACCATTTTTAAATGAATAACAGATGGCAGTGTATGTCATTTAAGGATAACAAAGATGGACTATGTGTTTTCATTTGCAAATAATGTTCTTTATCCAAATAGTCCTGTGTTTCCTTTATCCATGAATGACAATATTCTTTACTGTATGAAAAAGACACCATTCTTTTACTGATGAACTTGGCGAGACCTCATCTCTACAATAAATCAAAAATTAGCTGGGCATGGTGGCGCATGCCTGTAGATCCAGCTACTTGGAAGGCTGAGGCAGAAGGATCGCCGGAGCCCAGCAGGTCGAGGCTGAGGTGGCCGGGAGCAGCCACTTCACTCCAGTCTGGGTGACAGAGTGAGACTCCAACTCAAAAATAAAAGAAAAAGAAAAAGAAAAGCTTCTAATCTTATTTGGGTGAGTCTTCTGGATGTCTCAAGGCAATTCCATTACACAGCAGCAGCTCAACATAGGTGGCCAAATGGAATCACTAATTTTGACATATGGATCATGTGGAACATCAAATAACCTATTTATAATACTCTCTAATATTTCATGCAGTGTTATCAGCTGTGCAGTTGTTTCTCCAGTGTTTTGCTCTTTCTTTTTTTTTTTTTTTTT